GAGCTGCTGAGTCAGCTCTAGGACCTGTGCTTGAAGAATAGAAATGGGATCAGGGAATTCTTCTGCTTGTTCCATAATGGTGGATATGGAATAAGGCAGGTGTTGGGTGTGTGTGGTAAGAGTAAAGGCAGGTAAGAGTAGAGGTGGAGTGGTGAAGCAGAGGTTGTCACATGGAGACTTGGTCTTCTGTTAGGGCAACACAGGCTGACTGAGTCTGCTCACCTAAGAGTGCCAAGAGTCTAAGCAGGCAACAAGGAAGTGGAGTAGACCTGATGACTAAGACCTATCTACAGTATAGGTATCTGTGGATGATCCTAAGAGACCAAGTCTGAAGAGACAGTCCCAGGCAGAGTAGGCCTTATATTTATACCTCTGTGGTGGAACCTGCTAGAACATCTTGCTTACTCAGCCTAGTCAGGTGATCAGGTGATATGACCAAGGATGAGGTCATATGAGGTCATGCACAGCCATGCACAGCAGGTCACCTGACCATCCAATCCTTCCAGCAGGTTCCAGCACATGCCAAGGTATACCAGCTACTTCCATGTCATAAAGGCTTAGTCATGTCTCTTGACCAAGCAATGAGCTGGGTGCCCTGACAATAGGGTCTGTTTCCCTCTACTATCTTGTCATAGTCCTTCTGAACCTCATTTGAAGTGTCATTTGAATGTTGAATCCAGCTTCAAAATTAGGATGTGCAGCACACTTCCACAGTGCATTTCTTGCTCTATTCTCTAATATACTCCACTTGTTGGAGTAGTGTAAAAAAGTGAAAGGGCTTACTATGCCCTTATGCCCTCAGTATACACTATTACTAACTAGTAGTAATACAATCAGTGCATAGTAGAGGACAGAGAGAAAACAAGGGTGGTCTACAGGCACCCACTACATGTAAGTCCTAGGGACAATCATGATTGCCTCCAGAGGTGGTGTTACCTAAGAAGGTAAGTGTGGGGTCATGTAAGGAACCCTTACAACCCTGGAGTGTCTGAATCAAATCGGTGATGTTGGAGGGGCAAGCAGGGACAAACTTCGGGATGACGAAAGATGTGAGAGGTTTGTGGAGAGGGAAGTGATGGGCGATGGAAAGAGCTTTTTGTGACAGCTTAGGCTTCAATTTGAGGGGGGACACCATGTCAGGAGTTTCGACGACAACGGTGAGAATTATAGTTGAGCTGAAACAAACGCTTGTTGTGGAGAATTGAATATTGTTTTCGCGAACATAACCCAGCGACCTTCCCTGTTGAAGAAAATACACTGTTATACAGATCCTTCCTTTGTACTTTAGAGTTCGCCCACAGGCTGCTCCTGCACCACCAGTTTTTCCACTTACACTTGTTCCTGCGCCTGTTCAATCTCTCGTTCCGGTTCATGTGTTCTTTCCTGTTCGTGCTCTTTCTCCGGCTCGTTCACCACCGTCTCCATCTCAATCCCTTCAGCTTTCTCGTGCGGCTGCGCCTGTTCCTCCTGCACATTCTCTAGCTCCTTCAGCTTCAGCTCTTGCAACCTCTGAAGGTCCTGCTTCCCTTCCTCGTTCCACCACCTCTCCGCCTCCCCCTCAGCATCATACCCAAACTGCACCCTGCTCTTCTTCCTATCCGCCCACTGATTCTGACTCCCTTCAGCCTCCAGCGCTTCCCCACTCAGCTCCGCCTCCATAGCCCGGCACATATCCGCGTCTCTCGTCTCCTGCGCCTCACCGTCGGGGAGGTGGAAGATCTTCTGGTTTAAACGTGCTTGTGCTTGGGTGTCGGTGCACCGCGCGTGCCGGAGCTGCTCGTAGGCTTGGAGAAAGAATGGGATCTGGGAGGGGGAGGAGAGGTGGGTGAAGAGACTGCCTAGGACGGCGGCGTCTTCGACAGCCATGGCAGCGCCTTGTGCGCGGTATGGCTATGAGGCAGTATCAGGACCAGGATGTTCTTGGCTTCAGAAGAACGCACAAGCATAGGATGACACGAGTCACCCAAGAGCACTACCTTGCCGCTCTTGTGGATCCACGTCTCCAGCGGGCCGCGGTCCATAAGTTTCCACTTGAGAGTCGAAGGGACAAACGCAAGCAATTTCTGGATCCTGTTCCCTTTAAGTCTCCTGAATGGTATGCAGAAAAGTGCAAGTACTCACCTCGGTTCCCACCCCTCAAAGTCTGCCCGCATCTTATCCGCGCTCCCTTCTGCAGTCCAGCTTTCCACGCTTCCGTCATCCGGATGGAGGAGGACGAGATTATACTCCTTCTTACCCCGAATACAGTAACCCATAATATGTCTCCCAGGGCCCATCCACGCCGTCATCTCCGGGGTTTGGACGAATCCCGCCAGCTCGGGGTCAGACAACATCAGAGACGTCGGGATCGTTGCGCGATAAGCGGCGTCACCGGTAGGCACGGGCGCGTCCGGTGAACCGACGATCACTTGCCTGATCCCGCTCTTCACCCCGTCTGCGCCGACGAGCAGGTCGCATGGCAGAACTTCGCCAGACCGGAGGGTGACACTAGGCGTGTCGGGGTCGATGGACGTCACTAGACTCCCGAGGCGGATGGTGACTCCCGCACCCAGGGCGAGGTCGTAGAGCATCTTGTGGAAGTCGGCGCGCTGGGGGATGTGAGGACATACTGGAAGGGAGAAAGAGGACTTACGTGGACATGACAGTAAGGCGCTCCGTGCGTCTTCGTGATATCCGCCCAGCTCGTGTATCCAACCTACATAGATAGTACAGTAAAACCTTGTACGTGCTCCAGAGGATGGCGCGTACCCGCTCCCCTGTCGTCCCTGCACACCATCAGCACCATCTCCAGTCAATCAGAAAGAGACGCACATCTGCGGAATACGATCGCCCCAGGGATGACAGCCGTCCTCTCCAACTGCGGTCCCAAGCCCCAGCTCAGCAGGATCCGACTGACATTCGGCGTCACTTGGATCCCAGCCCCAACCTCGCCTATCGCCGGTGCTTGCTCGAGTATCGTACATCTATGCCCCGCTTTCTGGAGCGCAAATGCTGCTGCTAACCCCCCAAGACCGCAACCGACGATGATGATGTGGATCGGGGAAGGGGAGGTTCGGCCGCCATAGAGGGTGATCGTCTGGAATCAAGGTTGGTTAGGGGGTGGTGATGGTAGGGGGTAAACCTACCTTGCCCGTGTTGAGAGCGCTGGCTGCTGCGTCTGCTGCTGCGAACTCGGGATGCGTGGGCTTGCCATTCACCTCGGGTTGTGGTGCGTCGCCGTTTGTCGTGGGGATGTCGACCTCGGACATTGTGCTGGTGGAGGTGAATGATACGTGTACAATGGAATAGTACAAACGGTACAAAGGAATCTTATATACGGGGTCGAGGAGATGATGGTGAACGTTAACAGAGGTTGGTTGAGAAAGTCAAGCGACTGTAACAGAAGAATTCGAAATTTCCTCTGTGTATTATACGCTCATCGTCGACGAATATTACTGATTGTCATGTGCGAATTTAACTTGTGACTCACGCTTCAACATTCATCCGATATATACATTTGGAGGGAAATTTCAAAGGCATCTATGTTGTTACATTAATTATGCGGGGTAATAATGTATAACAAATACGTGAAGAGTCGAGATGGCACAGAAAAATGATAGTAATGATCCTTCTTAATAACCGCAGATACCCACGTCTGCCGTCCTTAGTGCTTGGCTCACTATCTCCTCGGTCAACAACTTCATCAAGAAGATAATCCAGCAATGAATCATAGTATTTCCTGAACATTATTGGTTGATAACAGAGACGTGCTTCTTTGAACTACACGGGCGTAATTAGAATAGCTGTCTTCTGCACCGCCGCACCAGACAAATCTCTGGACATTGGCCACGTTCACTGCGTTCGGACATGGAATCTCCGTCTCTCTTGCTTCAAGTTACTTCAAGTCCAAAGTACTGATATCGGCGACGCTCCAACTGCACAGTTCCAGCACACCGCAGCAATCACCAGCCTATTCCCGTACCTCCGCAGCACGTCCCATAGCCCCGAGTTCATCTCCGCACTGGAAGGCTTATCAAACTAAGGCACAGCCTAGCGAAGCGTGAGAAATCGCAACTGCTCTGAAGCGCATTCCCGAGGATTGTGGACTTATGGAGTCCGGAGAGTAACCCAATTTGACACAGGTTGGGTGGATTAGGCGTCGGTCAGATGGTGAGCTGCGGAACGGGGTGTGCTTGGAGGGACGCGTACTTCGACGTCAAAGGTCGGCAAATACCTCCTACTTAGTAGGCGGTGAGCAGGATATATAACCCAACTGTTCCTTCCAGCGATGGACACCAACCACCGGAGACATCTCACTGTCCAACTCACTGTCCAAGTCCAAACCCACTCCCAGTAGAAAGGAAGATGATCGTCAACCCTACCTCTACCCCCGATACCCTCGCACGCTCCTTCTCCCAGCGCACCGAGCCGCCGGCGTACGAGTCCCTCCCGCGAACCGGAGACCTGCCGACTGTGCAGGAGAAGCCGCTCGGGAACGAGGAGACGACGGTGGTCTTGCGTGCGGAACCGCAGTTCAATGGGGACGAGAAGCAGAAGTTGCAGATCCCGTCTGAGGATCCGGCTGAGTAAGTGATCCAAACTGAACTCATCCTTTGGAGTAATGCTGATCCCTACTAGATCTGCTGTTCCCCGCCAGCCCGTTCCACAGGTTGCGGAAAACACTCCAACTCGCTTCTTCGACCGTTTGAAACAGCATCACGCTGCCCGTCGTGCGGCATGCGAGGCCAAGCATGCCGCTTGTGAAGAGAGGTGTCGCGCACGTAGAGAGGCCAGAGAGGCGAAGAAGAGGGGTTGTGGGGGCCGTTGTGAGAAGGGGAAAGGGAGAGAGGAGATGACTGGCAGGCGTGGGTGTTGTACGTAACCAGCTGGTCGATTCCATGTACTATATCAGGCTTGAAGTTTATTTGCCCTGTATCATGACGAATATATAAGAACTGAGTTCTTTCCATGAGGAGGCGGCTCTCCGACAGACATCTCCCGAGAAGTAGACCACTAACTATGCTTTCACTTTCTGGTCTGAGAAAAGGTATGTCATTAAAGAAGCTCACCTGTTTCTCACATCTGCGTCTGTATCTCGCGCGATACCCCGGTTCAACCAGTTGGCGTTATACTACGTCCCTCCTGCAGCAGACTTCCTGTCATGGGGAGACAAATTGTCCAGTTGGGAAATCCGCACGCTTCGTATTCAGTTAGACGCACAGAACCATTACACATGTGTCTTATTATAACCACAGAAGAAGGTACTGTACATTGGGCTTAACTGATGGAAATCATCATCCCGTCATCTCAACGTCCTCATTCACACCTCCCTGTGGGACAATCACACCAGAGTCAACCATCCAACTGACCGGCATGCCGGAAAGACGGGTGCCAGGCCACATTTGTTCCTCCAGCTCAGTCTGCGGACCCAGCGTGCGCAGGTGCAACAGCCGGGTGAAATGGGACGAGATCTTCAGCTTGTCGAGTATCGGATACGCCGAGGAAGCGTGACCACGGACATTGATCGACCAACGACGCTTACGGATGTCTTTGGACGAGTCATTGCTTCTTGTTGACGACGCAACAGGTGGATGACCTAGTCCGCGCTGCGTGATTGACAGAGGCTTTTGAATGTCAACATACCGCTCCGAGTCGTTATCGAATGCAACGTTCGTCCCCAGTTCCATGAGGATAACCAAGTAAGGCATTTCTGTTTCCGCAAGATGCTCAGCGAGACCAACAGGTTCGAGCCCCCTCAGGGCATTCGGGTCCGGCCTATCTTTGAGCTTCACTTGCACGTGGACGGCGGAAAGATTGCGCCGATCAAACAACGCCTTGGGCGCATTCGATCCCTGATACGTGATGAAAAGGAGATCTACGGATGCTTGGTTATGCCAGCATTGGATCGCAGCCCCTCTGGCCCAGAAATTGGCTAACGTTTTCCTGATCAAAGTCTGA